GCCTACCATACCTCTTGGTATGGTCGGCTAATAAGCATTTATCTTATTTTTATTCTAGAAATTTCGTAAGACATATTTATTCATTTTATTATTAATTAATTATTCATTTTCCCATATAATATTTCCAATAAATAAAAATTAATATTTAATTTTTAAAGAGAAAAAACGCAAAAATAATTCGGATAAGGCGGGTTTTTTTGTGGACGATGCATATTGCGGGTTTTGCTATAACAAGATATTTGCATCCTAACTTGATATATTAGATAATGTTATTTTATTGAAATTAGGTAAGAATTTGAAATGAATAAAGGTGCCATTACACGGCGCGTGGAGCGCCGCGCCTGGACCGTCGACTGCCGCACCACGCTCCGTGTGATTGGGTCGGCGCTCCGATTTTCGGGCCACGGACCTGGTATATGAGCAGTTAAGGTTGTCGCCCACTAGACCGCTGCGCGGCGCGGCGCTGGGAAGAGAATTTTTTCTGGCTGCGAAGGAACTGCGCCCACTATAGCGCGCTTTTGAGACGCGGCAACGCTATTTAGTTATAGTCGAAGTGTTTTTTACTTACTGTAGTTTAGTTTTTAAAGCAATGAGTTCAAGTACGGACGAAAGCGTATTTTTTGTGCTCTTCTAACAGAGGAAGAGGAAGAGGGGGTGAGGAAAAGTTTGGACTCATACGATTAACAAAAAAAGAAAGAAGTTCATTTTTTTCAGTATTTTTTGCAAAAAGACAAGATCATTTTTTTCAGTATTACAAAATATAAAGGAAACATTTTACGCACTCCTCAATTGAGGGTTTTAGAAGCAAAACACCGAGCATCTCTACTCATCATATTTTTTCAGAAGAGACAAATTACTAATACTTTTGATAATTCTTATTTATTCTGATGTGTATATTAGTTATGTGGTGAAAAAAACCCTGATCTTTTTTATATATTTAGGTAATTAGAATTTAAAAATTGGAGATTGTCACTTTTGTTAAAAAGTGGAGATTGCCGGTTTTGCCTCTACACCCCTCAATTATATTAAATCTTTGATAGAACGGCATTTCGTCCATCTGTCTCTAGTGAGGGAAGACTTAAAAAAATATCATATTCCTTTATGAAAATCGATTTGCCTAATTTACCTTTAAAAATACAATTCTACCATTGATACGTATCACTAGTTCCTAGTCAAAAAGCCAACTGAAAAGACTCGAATGCAAAATTATTTCCAATGTGAGTACGCACACTGCAACGCGCCAAAACGGCGGAGACGGAAAAAAGTTGCTAGAGAAGTCTTCCGACTTCTTGACGGAAATCCCGCGGCGCGCTTCTGCGCTGCGCGCTCTGATGTGCGTTGGTCCATTTAAATACATGGCAAGCAGACAAAAGAAATTTCCACATGGCGCCGCGCCGCGTCGCGCCGCGGTCTAGTGGGCGACAACCTTTACACGGAGTGTGGAAACCCGCGCCAGGACGCGCCCTGAACGTTTTAAAACCAACATCATCTCTTGACCGTTTTGTGGGATATCGTGATGCAATTTTTAGATCCCAACTCTCTTAGTAACGAAGAAAAGAAAGGTGTTAAGACCCATCTACGATCATTTTCCCTTGTTTTGTTAGAGTTCAAGCTTAAAAGGTGGACGCCCAAAAGTTTTATTTCAATTGGCTAGTATAATAACGAAACAAAGACTCATTAAAGGGTTAATTGAAGAGCATTGAAAAGAAGAATTAGGTTTTGCAAGTACTATGAACTTTAGGGCTAGTGGGGGTAGGAATGCTGCTGTAATCGTTGAAACCTTAACTGAAACTCCATCGAAAGACACTGAGTTTGAAAAATCAATGAATGACACCAATAGTCAGTTCGGCAATTTTTCTCAAGACAAAAAAATCGAAATGATGTTCTTGTTAAATAAAGCATGACTATATGCAAAAGCTTTTTTTAATTTCTTATAATTTCTAATAAAAACTGTCTAAAAAATGATTATTACTAGTTTTAATAAAAGTTTTAAAAATTGTCTTAGATACTTACTATACAGGGTTGTTCACCACATACGACACGGAGTATTGTAGCTAAACGATGAGATTTTTACAAATTGTAAGTTTTGGGTTCGATGAAGTACTATTAGAGATACAATTTAAAAATAATTTTACAAGATACAGAGTGTCCCAAATAAGTAAAAAATATCAAAGTTGTATTTTTTTAAACGGAACACCCTGTATATTATTACATTTTTAGTTTCTACGATTAAAATAAAGGTAAATTTGATTAAGGTTTATTATACTTAAACCTTACCGTTTTTGAAATATTTTCAATTTTGTGAAATTGCAGTAAAAATTTTAAGGCTTCATTTCTCCAAGGGTATCAAAGTTTTTAATACTAAATATTTACTGAAGTTTATTTACTGATCAGTTATTGTGTTGCAATAATAAAAATAATGCTACCTTATACAGAGTGTCTAAAAATTTATTTTAAATAATTATTAGCTTCAAACGGCAATAACTTGTTTAATTTAAATGGAACACCCTGTATATTTTACGAGAATCAGATGCACAATTTAATTGTCTATCAAATTATATTATACCATTTTTTACCTATCTCTTTAAGTTTCCGTAGAAAATGCATTTTATTGTAATTTAGAACTTATTTATCAATATACCCATGGACTATTGACATTTTAGATTATTTTTAAAGATGTACCAAATTTTTAAAGAGTACAGATACTAATATTGTCGATATAATTCGTTTATTTCATTATGAAATAAAAAAAAAACTGTTTAAATATTTGTTAAAGAGGACCAATTAATATGATTCCAGTATTCAAACTACATTAACTGACTGTTTGCGTTGATTAATAATAATTGCTCCAAATACTAAAAAACTGAATTTTGTATGGGCATTAGACAGTGTGATAAAAAGTAACAAGGAAATGGCTAGAGTTAAGGGAGGCTTTTGTTCAGCAGTGGACGGTATAAGCTAAATGATGATGATGATGATGATGATTAGACAGTGTGATAAAAAGTAACACCTTAAAAATGATATTTCATTTTTTAATAAATGCTTATTTATAACAACAAAGACTTTAATTTGATAACTTATTATTATATTGATTTCTGACTCAAAAATCCACATTTATTTATAATAATTTATTAATGAACACAATTAAGTATGTCATTAATTAGTATATGGGCGGAAATAATGGTGTTATATTTAATTAATGGTATACTCTTTTATACAGATTTAAATAGTTTTCTTTTTAGTAATATTATCGTTTTGCTAAAAACGATAATATTACTAGTCTGTACATTTTGTACATTTGTTGCTTTAAAAACAATCTAAAATGTCAATATTCCATGGATATATTGATAAATGAGGTCTAAATTATAAGAAAATCCATTTTCTACGAAAACTTGAAGGGATAAACAAATTTAATTGTGCATCTGATTCTCCTAAAATATACAGGGCATTCCATTTAAATTAAAGAAGTTATTGCCGTTTGAAGCTAATAATTATTTAAAATAAATTTTTAGACACTCTGTATAAGGTAGTATTATTTTTATTATTGCAACACAATAACTGATCAATAAATAAACTTTATTAAATAGTTAGTATTAAAAACATTGATACCCTTGGAGAAATGAAGCTTTAAAATTTTTACTGCAATTTCACAAAATTGAAAATATTTCAAAAACGGTAAGGTTTAAGTATAATAAACCTTAATCAAATTTACCTTTATTTTAATCGTAGAAACTAAAAATGTAATAATATACAGGGTGTTCCGTTTAAAAAAATACAACTTTGATATTTTTTATTTATTTGGGACACTCTGTATCTTGTAAAAATATTTTTAAATTGTAGCTCTAATAGTCCTTCAACGAACCCCAAACTTATAATTTGTAAAAATCTCATCGTTTAGCTACAATACTCCGTGTCGTATGTGGTGAAGAACCCTGTATATGAGTTTACAATTACAGAGTGTTAAAATTAAAATTAAAATAACTATTTTATTTATTTTTAAATAAAATATAATTTTTTAAAATAAAATATACAGGGTTTCACAAGATCACAAAGTAATTAAAAAATAACTGCTAAAATAAAGTTTTTTTAAGTATTTACCTGATATCATAATTTTATTTATTTAGCATTAGTTTACAGTACGATTTTTGTGTGTCACGTACGAATAATATAATAGTTTTATTATTTTGTTATTATATTTATTATTTTTATATATTTATTAATAAATTAAGTTGTTAATAAATAAATAAATTTAACCCATATGGGTGCTATACATATATTAAACCATTTGCTACGTTCTTAGATTTTAAGTCCCAAACATCGCTCCTGAGGTTTTGTCCGGCTAAAATTACCAGTCGCCGCACTGTGCGCGTTTGTGCGCGTCTTGGCGCGTCTAGGCGCGGCGCTCCAGGCGCCTGAAGCGTGGATCGGCGCTCCACACGCCGTGTAATGGCACTTTTATACCTACTTGTGTAAAAAGCCTATGAAAAAAATGCGGGATTTGCAACAATAATGACAATAAAAAACAAATATAAGAGGACAAAACGATTTTGCTGCAGTAACGTAATTTGTGGTGAATTTTATATAGGAATAGGCGACTTTTGGTGCAGCCTGGGACTATGTTTATATAGATTTCAGTGTCCACTATTAATATAGGTACATATATCATTAGGTCATTTTTTTTTAAATGGATAAGGCGGGTTTACTTAACTTGACGTCTCATATTGTCTCTAATGGGATATTAAACGCTAATGTGTAAGAAAGAGATAGACTAAGGAAGCATCGCGTCATTTAATTTCGACTGCTGTACGACGCAATAATGCCAAATCTGCGAATTTTCCCCCAATTTAGAGAAAATAAATATATTGATTAATTAATTATTTAAAATGCTATTTTTGCAGTGCGCGCCACTGCGATTTGTACAGGGTGTGTTAAATTGGAGGGTTGGACCATTGGGGATCTCGCAAAACATAATCGTAATCGTAATTATTTTTATCTTTCAGATGTATGGCCGTTACAGCCAGCAATTAGGAGAATTCGCAAAATTAGAAAGTCTCAAAGCCGCAGAAAAAAGAAGAATTAAAGAAGAAAAGGCTAGAAAAAGAGAACTAAGAGGATATCAAGGTAAATTAAAAAAAAATAGTTATCGTTTATTGCTTACTGAATTAGTATAAGCTTATACATATTTTTTGATCAGATTTCATTAGAATGAATGATATTCATAAAGAAGAATTAAAAAAAGAATATAGAGTGACACAAAAACACATTTTTGAACCAAACTCGTATATTTTGTATTTTAATTTTATTGGGTATCGAATAATTATGTATACTGGGTGCGTCTCAAAAGTGGCTCACCCCTATAACTTTTTTATTTTTGCAGTTAAAAAAACGAGATTTGGTATGTTAGTATATGACATAAATTGGGATTGATTGACGTATTCAATTTTTCTCGGTCACTTCCGGTTTCACCGGAAATGACTACAATTTTTGATTTTTAAATGACACCCCCGGTATTTTTTTACTTTATTCGATAGAAAATGACACTCTGAATCGAATGACATATCATATGTCAACTTTTGGCATTTTCGCATATGGTTTATTTGAAATTGTAACATGCGGTTCATAACGACAATTTGACTTGAAATACCAAGTGTGCGGTATCAAATTATTCGTAAAAAAATGCTTTTTCCAAATATGCTAATGAGCCACCCTCGTCCCATTTGAAAAAATTGAGATATGATTAAAAATACGATTTGGGCATCTATTAACCGTTCTGGACAAGACACTAAAAACATTAGACCATCAAATCTATTTTTCCAAGGTTCCTTGATTGAAAATTAGTGTTTTTAACACAGACTCTAGATTGAATTTTAAAATACAATTTGTTTTTGAGTGACTATGTCAAAAGTTGACATATGATATGTTATTCGATTCAGAGTGTCATTTTCTATCGAAAATCAAAAGCTGTAATCATTTCCGATGAAACAGGAAGTGACCGAAAAGAAAATACGTCAATCAATCCCAATTTATGTCATATACTAACATACCAAACCTCGTTTTTTTATCTAAAAAAATAAAAAAGTTATTGGAGTGAGCCACTTTTGAGACGCACCCGGTATAAACTCGGGCAGTTATAACTAGTAGTGGGAACTATCGAATGAATGCTATCGAAACATTCGATAGTTGCAATTCATTCGAATAATTCGATAGCTAGTAAGAAAACATTCGTTGAAAACTATTCGAATAAAAATATCGAATAGATGCGTCATCTGCCTTGAAATATATTAATTCGGCAGCAAAAACCATTCATTTATAAAATTCATTCATTTGTAAAATTCATTTATTCGTCAGGATCGATTATAATAAAATATAAACTGGATTTTAGTTGTCGCCCGGCGACGTAGGTTTCTTTCCTAGAAACCCGACAGCGGTCGGCGGTCGGTGGCAATGGTATGAAAAAAGCCGGCATCTTTGATTTTGAGTCAGATAAAGATAAGGACATATTATTTTTTTTATTGAGGTGCTACATTATGAACGGCGCTGTTGCCGTATATTCGTATTAGTTGGTATTAGCAAAGAATATTATTCTTTGGTATTATAGTTAGTTAGGGATAGTATGACTATATATTTTGCATGTTTTTTATTAATATTCTGTTGTTACACTACAATAATACTTTATAATTATTATTTTGGATGTAGGAAAATTATTTTTAATGTTTTTAAGCAAAACTGGTTTAATAAATAATTATAACAGTAATAATTTGTTATACCTATTAACACCAAAATTTAAAATCATTTAATATAAACATTTTTTTAAGTAGTAGCAAAATATAAACAACAAATTAGAAGTCAAAATTATTTATATTAGATCCTATTTAAAAATAATATAGTCTCTAAATTTTTTGGCAACGTTGGTTTATTAAATAATAATAATTACAGAACTAATTCGTTATATTAACAACAAATTTTAAAATCATGAAATATAAACATTTATTAATTTTCTAAGCATGCAGTGTATATATATAAGAAAAATATAAATAAAAAATTAAAAATCAAAATTTTATATGTGTATTACTTTTTATTACTTTGTATTAGTATTTAAAAATAATATTTGCTTTTACTGGCACTTACTTTAAAAAATAAATGAAATATTTCTTCGCAAAAATCTACATGTAAGAGAATTAGCATAAACAAAATTCAAATATCGTTAACTTTTTTTTTTAAATTGGCACGTGTAAAACTTTAATCAATCAATTTAATTTTCTCATCCCAAAATTTGAGTTCGATAATCATTTACTTAACCGCATTACCACATTACTTAAATATGATTATTAAGTTCAACTAATTCATATTACTAAAACATCTAAAATACAAATACATATGTATTTTTAAAATTAACTGTAAGTTCACCTCATCTCTCTTAAAAATTGTTACTTCTCAAAATTTCCCATTAAAAAATAGACCATATACCGTATAAAATTAAATAATTGAAAGATCCGAAAATCACACAAATTTTCGGAAAAATTTTGACCACCTGCACACGTACACAATCGTCAATTAAAAAAATCACTGCTACTTTAGTATTTTAAATATTTTAATAAACGCAAAAATAGCACAGTATTTAGAAGGCAAGTTATAAAAATTTGGAAGAACTAATAATGCACTGACGCAGACAAAAATCAAACGAATACTAAATTTCATTTATCAAAAGCATTCGATAGTCTTGGCTTAACGATAACCATTTAGTCGCACGGCGAGGTTGTCACATATGCTTTAGTATACAAATGAATGAATGATTTTATTCGAATGAAACCATTCGATAGTTGAAATCATTCATTCAGTAACCATTCGATAGTCTAATTCATTCGATAGTTCCCATCGCTAGTTATAACACCTTTTTTATAATTCATTTGATACATAAATAACTATAATATCACACATTGATGGCTAATCTATAATTATTTTCCTTTCAGGCAAGGTAGCAAAAACTATTTATTTTCTATGGAAGCACACATTTGCACGGTTAGGGGAAGACTGGGTATTTCTGGCCCTTCTAGGTATTATTATGGCAGTACTGAGTTTCATATTGGATAACGGAATATCCATGTGTAATACAGGTATGAACTAATCAAACATTTCATAAATGTCTGTTAACTTGATTTCTTTGAAACTCTGTGGAATTATCTTCCAGATGAAGAGAATATTAATAATATGTATGTATTTACTGTTCCAGCTAGGATATGGCTTTACAATGATTTAACCAACAATCCAGCGGCACAATATGCCTCGTGGGTGTGTCTTCCGGTAACACTTATCTTGTTTAGTGCAGGTTTTGTCCACTTGGTGGCACCACAGTCCATCGGTAAGACCTAATAGCACAAAAACTACTATGCTTGATAGCAAAATATTGTTTCTTTTAGGTTCGGGAATACCCGAGATGAAAACTATTCTTAGAGGTGTTGCGTTAAAGGAGTATTTAACCTTCAAAACGTTACTGGCAAAAGCAGTTGGTCTTACGGCTACTCTAGGTATTTTGAGAAAAAAAGTCAACGCGTAAAGGAGAGCGTAATTAGGGCGTTGTTGGGTGCAATAACATTCAATAACTCAACTTTCCCGGATATTCAGCTCTCCCGAAACAACATTTTATAGCTTCATAGTTTCTCAAACCGTATACGAAACATACAACACCTTTGAATAAGAAGACTAAGGAAGGAGCATATCAAAAATCTTAGGTACACCGCGATGGGCCTCAAATATGGCCGACTTAAATTCCGGTTTATCAGTGTCGTTCTAATTTTATTTAAAAAATGTAAAACTATGATGTAGGGTAGACGTGGGGTAGACTCAATAATTTGTTGTTTTATTTTACGTTGTGAATAAATGTTGGTAGTTATTAAAATTGTTATAAAAATATATAATTCTAATAAAAATAGATAAGTTATAATAAGTATTTATTAACACAAACATCCGATACGCTACTGAAGCAGGTAAGTCAAATTAACGTATCTAAGTTCTTTGACATCTAATCTTTGACAAGTAATAAATAAAAGCTAAAATGCAAGAAAAATATATAATTTAGTTAATTTAAGTGAATTTCATAAATGATCGGTTTACTACACGTATGTATATTATATAGTCACTTACTAACTTACTAGCGAAAAGTTGATCCATTATTTCACTCAATTTTTCCGAGATCTACCGCACGCTACACAACCAACTATTTTAGAGTCTTTTTCGATAAATCGCGATAGTGTCACTGTTAATTTAAGTTCTGCCACAATTTCCATCTAGATTTACTACCTTTATAGAACTATCAGTAGTAGAATAAATAATAAATAACATAAAATAAGCTCCGTAAAGACTGACAAATCCACAAAATTTCAAATCAAATTCAAATGTGTCAAATGAATCGTCAAACAGAACTGTCAAGGATCCCCACCCTAGAGAGCTTTTATGGTGGCTTTTCCGCCCACCATGCATGAATACATGGATAGCATTATGCTCCTTCCTTAGTCTTCTTATTCAAAGTACAACAGTAATACGAAGAAGTATTGCCCTTGAAGTAAATTCCTTGTCAACAGGCTCTAGTAAACTTATAAGAACTAACAATCTCTAACACAAGAAGTGTTTTACTTTTCTTCAAATAACTCGAAGTCAATATTTCTTCTACTATACTATACTACATTTATATAGAATAAAACTATATTTTAGGTAGTGGTATGCCGCTAGGCAAAGAAGGACCCTTTGTCCATATAGCCAGTATCACAGCAACGTTGCTGAGTAAGCTGGTAACTGGGTTTCAGGGTATCTACGAAAACGAAAGCAGAACAACTGAGATGTTAGCTGCGGCTTGTGCTGCTGGAGTAGCTAGTTGTTTTGCAGCTCCCGTCGGAGGTAAGTCTTAATAGATTCAGTAACAAAGAAATCTTAATAATTATGTTTAGGTGTCCTGTTTAGTATCGAAGTAACAACGACTTATTTTGCTGTGAGAAATTACTGGAGAGGCTTTTTTGCTGCCGTTTGCGGTGCAACCACCTTCAGATTGCTGGCAGTGTGGTTTCAAAGTGCCGACACAGTCACTGCGGTGTTTAAAACCAGCTTTTACATGGACTTTCCTTTCGATCCTCAGGAATTATTTGTCTTTGCTTTAATAGGGTAAGATTGTATTCAATGTAAAAAAAATAAGAGAGCTCTTTCACACCTTTTTTTGGCTGGCACAAATCAGAACAAATTCATTCAAGAAATTCCCGTAGATATATTATAGTTTAAAAATGGACGTGAATCTTTATTTGCTTTGCCAAATTCATATCTAGCAATAATATACATCTTTAGCCATTCGATGACAAATAAAACGCACTAATGCGAGTATTCTCATTGGACAATCTCATGCTGAATGCGCATTTTTTTACGAGCGAATTTTTTTTACTCTGCTCTAGTATACAGGGTGTCCCAGGCTGAGCGTGTATTAGAAGTTTCTAGAGAACTAAAACATCTAGCTCGGAGATTTTTTGCACATCATAGTTTCACAACGAGATCTATCGACTAAAAATATTTTCAATATGGCGGCACTTCCGGAAATACCGGAAGTTAACAGCAATTTGCTTATTTTAAATGGGTGCCCCCATTTTTTATTGCATACTTAAATTATCTGTAAAAATTTTTCTGTATGAATTTTGATATTAAACATATCTGTGCATGACTAGTGCCTAAAAGAGTGTCGTTTCGAATCTCAAATACATATAGATAAATGAAACAAGTTTAGATTGGAAAGTGCCCATAAGGACAATGTAAACACTATTTGGCGCTGTTCTTGCAACGGTCGCGACCCAAAACTTTTGAAAATTTCGGAGCGGTTCGGCTTTTTTCGGAATTATATCGCCAAATATTGTTTATTCAAATTTATTATTATTTTCGTTTAATTTTATAAATAAAAGACATTGTGTTGCATACAAGAAACTTTATTTTATATAAGGACGCATGCATGAAATACCTATAAAACATTGGAAACCTACGTTATGCCACGATCCACGATGTGATTTTTGCAGTTCACAGTTTACAGCACAGCTTTTTAAGTTTTTAATGCCACTTTTTCACAATTATTACCGGTTGGAGTAAATAAAACTTGAATTAAACTCACAAGATAACAATTATTACTTTGAAAATGGACGCTATAAACATTTTTCGGAATTTCTTTAATGAGAGCGGTTTGGATGTTGAAAGATTATTATGATTTTTGAAGATTCTGACTTTGACAAGAGAAAATTATTTCTGTTTTTGTTTGCCGTTGTTCTTAGCGACCGCTATAGCAGCGCCAGATCGCGTATAACGGTCGCGACCCAAAATAATTTCGCGACCAAAATTTTTACGAGCTTTCCAATCTAAACTTGTTGCATTTATCTATGATACATATCAGGGGCCGGAAAGTGTTTGTTCGCACTCAAAAAATTTCATTTAATGCCTGTATATATTTTTAATATATTTTTTAAATTTACATTTTTTAATTGTAAAGTAATATATTACATTTAAATAGAATATATTACATAACAATTATGTCAATTACAGGATAACAAGCTTGTTTTCTAACATTTTTTAAATAAAACGAATTATAAAATTTCAAAATATTATGTATATTTGTCGTAGGTATGAAAAAAGTAAAATATAAAACGGACAAACGCTTACTTACATTGCAATAAAACTTCCACTTTTTTTGCAATCCAAACGCAATATTTCTATTTCACAAATTAAAATATCCGACAACACTAAAATCACTGAAACTTCCGCGGCTGACAACGAAAACTGAAAAATAAAACGGCACTTTTTGTTTTGGACCTGCATATCAACATTACGCGGTACCATTATGTTTTTGTTTTTGAAATAATATAAAATATCTAATTATAACTTGTAAATTTTAATATTTTAACATGATTTTAACGATTTTAACTGTTTCTGACAATAACTAACTTTTTGTTATCAAGATGACATTTTAGACGGCAACTGACATATATGTCATAATATTTGAATTTTAAATATGTATGTAATATAATTTAAATTATTATATTGCAACTTTATGCTAATAAAACATTTATACATTCACAAAATACAACAATTATAGTTTGAAAACAATGAATATTGAATTAAAATTAAAAAAGATAAGCGCGACCCCTTGTGTCAAAATTCGATGATTAAATTTTTGCAATTTTTACACCATTTGATGACCGGTGGCGCCTCTAGTGTTTGTTCGGGCGGTTGGTCTTTTACTCCCGCTTATGGCCATTAAAGAAAAAGTTCTAAAGGGGGATGTTTTGTGTGCCAGATCGCGTATAACGGTCGCGACCCAAAATAATTTCGCGACCTAAAATTTTTACGAGCTTTCCAATCTAAACTTGTTGCATTTATCTATGATACATATCGGGGCCGGAAAGTGAAATAGCAAAAGCGGTTCCACCGTTTCCACGGAAATCTCAAGTAAAATAGTTCCAGCCCGAGCCACTAGGTGGTAGTGCAATTAATTTTTAGGTTAAGAAGTTGCTACTAGTTATTGCCAGATGGCGTTAAATCAGAATTTTTTTGTAGTTTCCATAGTTTCCAACGGCCATTGTCATATTATTGTCAAATTCTCAAAAAATATTGTCGTTATCATAGCGCCAATCATAATATTATCAAATAAATGATTATCAAAATGTTTTTCAAACTATACTACAATTTGTTATATGTGTTTTAATTAGACAATTCCTTTTGTTTGTGGCCCTAAAGATATAATGTAAGTCTTTTATTTTTGCCATCATTTAAGTACCTATTTATATTTACTCCATTTACAAAACTTTGGGCGTATTACGTTGGTCTTGTTTTATTATAATAAACGATGTTTAAATATTTAAATATAAATAATATTACTTATAAATAAAAACTTTATAATAAATAATATTTCACATGTTTGGCTTTAATTTTATTTAATAATTGTATAAATTATACTGTTAAATCTTATTTTTTACACGTCACAACGATACTTGTTATTAGTATTGTTGAATTTGTGTAAAAAATAAGATTTAATAATCAAATTTAATTATTTTAGAGTAGAATTCAATAAATACGCTCATTTAAAAAGCCCGCGCTTCGATCCATTTAAAACAAGCCCTACTCAATAGATGGCTTTGATACATATCAAAAACAGTCAATTTCGAAAGGCTTTCACAAAAATAATATATTTTTTTTCGTATTTTTAGGGCTTTTTGTGGACTGACTGGAGCTTTCTACGTCTGGGCCCATCGACAGTACGTAATGTTTATGCGAAACAGCAAAACCATTAATGCATTTCTTCAGAAAAAGTAAGTACTTTATTTAATGGTACTACGCATATTTAATATCGTATAAAAAAGTATGGAATACTTTTCAGTCGCTTCCTGTATCCAGGTATCATAGCCCTGTTGGTGTCCACATTCACGTTTCCCCTGGGAACTGGACAATTTGTAGCTGGTAAGTCGAGACAGTACAGGGTCTCCCAATTTTTTCACGTAGAATCCAGTGGCGTAACTAGTTTTTCTGGCTGAGATTCAGTCGTTTTCGAAATACACGACTCAAACTTATTATTTTTTAATGGGACATCCTGTATATTATTTTTTTTCTTTGTTTGCCTTGTTGTAAATATGTTTACGTTTATTTAGGCGATCTGACTACCCATAACCAGGTGGTGGCTCTTTTTAGCAACTTCACTTGGTCGAAAGCCAACCATACCCCTATAGAAGAAGGTATAATCAAGCATTGGAAGACTGACTATACTGGCGTGATACTTAATTTAATCATTTACAATATTTTCACGGTGAGTACCGATCAATTTTATTTTCTCTTAAACGTAGTATAATAATATTAAAAGAAATACATGTAATACTCATTTAGATCTAAACTATATTATATTATAGACTATACGGGAGTGAAATTAATAATATACTTCTTAAATTTTCGTGTGGTTTAATTACTAATTACTGTAATTACTATGAGTCTGATATATGTATGTATGGGAAAAGTAAAAAAAAATACCATTTTGGCTATTTTTTACTAAGTTTTCAAGGGTCTAAGAAACATACTAAAGACATACTATTATATTATAAAAATTATATACTAAAGACATACCATACCAGAAAAATTATGAAAATTTCAGAATTTGTAGAAAATTTTATGTAGATTTAGAATATATACTGATTTAGTAGCTTAAGTGTTTTGGTTTTGCAAGAAACTGGATTTCTCGAACCCAATCGAGAACCAATTTTCCGAACCATTTTTCATGGTAGCTAAAATATTACCTACAGGTCATACTGAAATAGTAACGTCAAAATGACCTATATTTTCGTGTTCTACGCCTTTTAATTAGTAAATAACAGCAGTTTCATCAAAACTGGTGACCTGACCAAAATTGAGAAATTTCATGATTGTATGTATGGAAAAAGTCGAAAAATTGACCATTTTTGCAATTTTTTTCTTAGAAAAATAGTAAGTATGGTCGTAAAATTATGAAAATTTCAGAATTTATAGCAAATTTTATGTAGATTTAGAATATATAATGATTTAATAGTTGAAGTGTTTTGGTATTGTAAGAAACTTGATTTTTCGAGTCCTGGTTTTCGAACGATTTTTAATTCTAGCTAAAATGTACTTTTAGATTTTATTTAGCTGTTACAGATAATATTTATAATTATTATTTGTGTTTGATTTCAGTTTTTATCCTCTATCGTTTGCTCAACTATTCCCGTGCCCAGCGGCATCTTCATTCCCGTTTTCAAAATCGGAGCTGGCTTCGGAAGGATCATGGGAGAACTCATGCACATCTGGTTCCCGCAGGGTAAGGGTTAGTTCATCAAGATCATTCATTTTATCATATCTCTTCATTTTAGTATCATCTGTCATAACCTTAGCATCCGGCAGAGTGACGATGAAATCAGACAAATTTAGAAAATTATTCTTGGTAAAATTTTTAGATACATTAATATCACTGGTTGCATTATCAATGTTCATTTATTTTGACTCAAAGATATAGAGGTAAAGAGAATGAGCATCGACGAGTGCCGCATCCAAAAAATTTGGAGTGGCCGCCATCTTAAGGTGCGTCCAGGCTAACGAGACGAGAGCGAGGCAAGAGAGCGAGGCTATTATTAGATTCTACGTACAATTCGGTAATTTTTTTGCATATGATATTATACCGGGTGCGTCTCAAAACTGGCTCACCCCTACAACTTCATTTTTTCAGTTAAAAAAACGATATTTGATATATGACATAAATTAGGATTGATTGACGTATATAATTGTTTTCGGTTACTTCCTGTTTCACCGGAAATGACTACAACTTTTGACTTTTAAATGGTACCCTCGGTATTTTTTTACTTTATTCGATAGAAAATAACACTCTGAATAGAATGACATATCATATGTAAACTTTTGACATTTTCGCATGTGGTTCGTAACGTAAATTTGACTCGAAATACCAAGTGTGTTGTGTCAAATTATTCGTAAAAAATGCTTTTTCCAAATATACTAATGATGTACCCTCGTTCAATTTGAAAAAATTGAGATAATATGATTAAAAATACGATTTGAGAGTAGTCATGGGGGCACTTGAGCCCAAGCTCAACCCCTATTTTTCCCTAAATTTAGGGAAATTTTCCCGTCCATCGGTATGGAAACCCACCCCTATGTAAACTTATAACATGGGGTATATGTAAATTCCCTAAATCTACTGATTTTTAGATTTGGCAATGTCGCATTTCTCTAAACACCCGGCAACGGTGTAACCAACCGATCATCTGTCAAATACCTTACTTCGGCACGATCTCTGTATCTGTATCATTTTCTAACTGGCCAGGATAAGATACTAAAAACATTAGACAATAAAATCTATTTTTTCAAGGCTCCTTGATTAAGAATAAGAATTAGTGTTTTTAACATAGACATGGCACTCTAGATTAAATTTTAAAATACGATTTTTTATTAAGCGAGAATGTCAAAAGTTGACATATGATATGTCATTCTATTCAGAATGTCATTTTCTATCGAATAAAGTATAATCATACAGAGGGTGTCGTTTAAAAATCAAAAGTTGTAGTCATTTCCGGTAAAACAGGAAGTGACCAGAAACAATTGAATACGTCAATCAATCCTAATTTATGTAATATACTAACATACCAAATCTCGTTTTTTTTATCTGAAAAAATAAAAAGTTATAGGGGTGAGCCACTTTTGAGACGCGCCCGGTATATCGAAAATTAATAGATATTGTAATAATTCAATTTGTTTATAGAAATCTTAGATTTCGGTACGGTAAAAATTATCAGTAACGCAACATTTGTAAATTCAATCAGGAAAAATGATAATACATACGGTATATCATTTAAAAAATTTAAGATTATTTTAATTTTAAATAGTCGAAATTCCTAAAACAGAGCTAATATTTCGCAGTTGAGCGAGCCAACCAAAGCCACGTCCAGACTGTGCCGCAAGCTTTCTTTGATCAGCCGTCGCAAAACCGAGAGAGAACGGATAGCAACGAGGCTCTCGCGAGACCCGTCCACACTTAGCGAATTTGGAATGTCTCGCGCTCGTCTCGCTCTCGACTCGTCAGGTATGGACGCACCTTTAGACCTACAGGGGAAATCGATAAGTAATAATAAAAGGTAGCGACCACCATGACTAGAATTTCTACGCACTTGTCGAAGCTCATTCACCTCTATATCTCTGTACTGACCGGAATTTCCTTTAATAGGTATGAGGTACGGGGGTAATATATCTCAAATCATCCCCGGAGGCTACGCTACCGTAGGAGCTGCAGCTTTTTCCGGGGCTGTAACCCACACCATCTCCGTGGCTGTGATAGTTTTCGAAATGACTGGACAAATCACCCATATAGTTCCTATAATGATAGCTGTCTTGACCTCTAACGCTATAGCTAGTCTGTTGGCTCCCAGCATATACGACAGCATTATTTTAATCAAGAAGTTGCCGTATCTGCCTGATCTTCTACCTAGTAGCAGTGGTAAGCGAAATCTACATACATACAGTCCATATACAGGGTGAGTCTTAAATGAGTGCAAATATTTTAGGGGTAGTATATTTCGACCCCAGAAACACGATAATGAATTTTTTTTTCGCGAAAAAAAATTGAAAATTTGAATTTTTTTTTGGAAATTTGTTTAATTTTCAGTTAAAAAACATAATTTCTTGATAGTATGGCAATATAAGTAGTAGATTAAATTTAGAAGAAAGAAAATCCAGAAAAGATCCAGTGATTCTCAAAATTAAAGAAAAAAAAATCATTTTTTTTGGGAATTTTCAAAGTAAAATAACTCGGTTATTTTGGACTTATTTGAAAAACGGTAAAGAGTAAATATGTTCTTTTATCGAGATCTCTGAACCCTGAAAATATTTGCACTTATTTAAGACTCACCCTGTATAAATTTTTTTTGCCATTTTTTTATTGTGTGTAAGTGTTAAAAGGTCCGATTAAATTTATATCTCCGAAACTAAAGTTTCAAAAAAAGTCATACTATCTCTACAAATTCATTTACCCAGTAGTAGGTATAACAAACATTTTTTGTAAATTCTGTCTGAAATAGTTTCTGAAAAAAAAATATTTTTTTTAAAAGATCCGATTAAATTTATATCTTCGAAACCAAAGTTTCAAAAAAGTCATACTATATCTACAAATTCATTTACCCAGTAGTAGGTATAAAAAACATTTTTGGTAAACTCTGTCTCAAATAGTTTCTGAAAAATAAAATTAATTTTCTTAAAAAGGTCCGATTAAATTAATATCTGCGAAACTAAAGTTCCAAGAAAAGTCGTAATATATCTACAAATTCATTTACCCACTAGTAGATATAAAAAGCATTTTTGGTAAACTCTGTCTCAAATAGTTTCTGAAAAATAAAATTAATTTTCTTAAAAAGGTCCCGATTAAATTAATATCTCCGAAACTAAAGTTTCAAGAAATGTCGTAATATATCTACAAATTCATTTACCCACTAGTATAAAAAGCATTTTAATATATCCGAAACTAAAGTTCCAAGAAATGTCGTTATATATCTACAAATTCATTTACCCACTAGTAGATATAAAAAGCATTTTTGGTAAACTCTGTCTCAAATAGTTTCTGAAAAAAAAAATTTCCAAAATACCTGAGAACCACACCTAGCACACAATACTTTCAGAAATAAATTATTTGTAATAGTCAGTTAGACTATATTGAGGTTTTAGTTACTGTAGGAGTCAGTTTATACTGCTGGCTTTAGATACATAAATATTAGCAAAAAGATTCTTTTAAATTCATCTTCTTAGAGAGTAAAATTATGTAGGAAAGTTCTTTGTATGAAAATGCCTTACTATCTGGTCTAGAAATACGAAATTCTGCAGAGAGAATTCTTGAGAAGAATTTTTTAAAATCAAGTTTTATATAAATTTTTACTAACTTTACCTATTTAGTAAAGTTAGTAAAAATGTATATAAAACTTCGCGACACCTGGATTATACACATAAAAATTTGCACAAAGTTTCCCTTAAAAGAAAAATTCGCATCCTTAGGGAGTAGAATGGGGTATGAAAGTTTGCTGTAATCCTAAGCATCCTAATTGTACTATTAATTTGTGTTTGTTATAGTTAGAAATGAATATTTTTTGTACTAATACCATTATTTATTTCAGGAATATATAATATTTACGTAGAAGATTTTATGGTAAGAGATGTCAAATATATTTTCAACGGGATGACATATGACGATCTAAAACACACCTTGAAAGAAAACAGAAGACTTCAAAGCTTCCCGTTGGTTGATAAACCAGAAAGCATGGTCTTGCTGGGTAGCATACCAAGAATTCAACTTATTCAGGTAAGGCCTAACACTAATTACCAATATCTTTTTGATATAATGTTAAAGAGGTCTTTATGAGGTGTTGCCCTGTTAAACATTAAATCCAAAGTAGCATCTTATGGAATGATTGTTTTAGCTGATAGAAAAGCACATTGGCCGAGAACGCAGACTGCAAGTGGCAGCAATCAGGCAACGGGAAGCCGAAGAGAAGGCAAGAGAAGAAGCAATGAGACAGGCCGAAGAACGCAAACGAAGACCATCCAGGTTCCAAGTCAGCCCGGCTCCAGATATGCTACAGAGACAGCTTTCCGAGAACCAACTGGACCAACAACAGGTATTTTAAATATTTTTCTCGTCTAATAGTGCAAATTACAGTGATCTACAGATATACTTAAGTAGTTGAGTGAAACTCATACCGTGCTGGCAACTGTTACTTTTGGGTCGGCATTTACATGTGTGGAAGTAAATCGCATAGGGATCTTATTAAGTCGGAGTGAGAGAAATGCGACGGAGTGCTGTTGCGGCGTTGCCGGTACGCCCTATCAAGTAAAGTAAAATCACGATCGCAAACCGCTTATTTTTAAAAGACTTTTTTTTTCGAAAAGATAACTAGATAAAATCATTAGATTATAAGGATATCGTTACGGTGCCATTTTTTTATAACGAGAAAACGTCAGTACTCGCGATAATTTAAACACTCAACATTTTAACACATAACAGGCCATAACTCAAGAACCACTTTAGATATTGAAACTTTTTTTTATTTTCAAGATCGGATATTTTACAATATGTTTACATAAGAAAAATTCGATAAGGTTGTTTTTTCCATTCAAAAATTGTAAACAATCCATCCATTTACTTTTAGAGCATAGCAATTTTCAGCAATCGTGTAATTTTTTTTATTGATAAATATTTTCACATACTGTCTACAAAGATAATACAGCAGAAATATTAACAAAGTTCTTGAAAAAACTACAATCCATTATTTCTAATAGATTTCGAGATATCGATTTTTGAATTCAGAGTTCTAATAGCGCGACCACTATCGAACACCCACTCAATTCCACTTATGTTTACCAAAAATGCAAGTGTTTCTAGCTTGCACGACTCGTTAATAAATAAACAAATTAAGTATCACGAGACATAATTAAATCGTGAAGCTGAACGCATAACGCACACCTTTCCCTAGAACTTTAAGTACTGACCACAAAACACATACACAAGAAGAAGTGCGAGCGCCTTGCTAAATATTAGAAAGTGAAATTGACGTTTAAATTTGACACTGTTGACAAGTCTACTGCTATTAGCGCCCCAAATTTCGCTTGTAGGAACTACGGGCTAAATTGTCACGCATGGCGGGAAGTTTAAAAAAACAAAAGAATTTATTTCTTCATTTATTTTTAATTATGACATACACAAAAACACAAAAAATACACCATTTTTTAAAAATATGTTTAATATCAATATCAAATATACAACAGAAATTACTTTCACCACAATAAATTAAAAAAATTAAAAGAATAATGTTACAAGTAGATCAAGAGACAAAATTAATTATAACAAAACTGAAAAAAATGGCGTCATAGATGGCTTAGAAATAAAAGATATCATAATTTTGAAAGTAAAATTATATGGGAAATATCTTCGATCATCATTTTTAAGCCAACTGGACGATTATTTCAAACATACAAGCTGAGTTCATTCATAGTGCTCTGAGAAATCTAGATAAACAAAGAATAATAAATTAAAAGTATTCCAGGGGAAAAGAGAGGAAAAACCTGTCGTCTCTGATATCTGTCAGGATATTGTTGAAAGTGTCATCTTTTTGCTCGAAGTTTTCAGGTCTATCAAAAAGATGACATTTACAACAATACTTTGCTGTAACTTTCACAAATATCAGAGAGAGTACATACAGGTATTGCCTCTCTTTTCCTCTGGGATGCTTTATATCTGTTGTTCTTTGTTTATCTATATTCTCAGAGCATAATGCCGAACACGACTACAGTATATAATAATTTCAATATCCGAAGTGGAAAGAAAAAAGATCACCTTTCTGTTTTGTACTATGGTCCCTTTCTTCCGATGGCTCATCTCGTTGATATTTAGGAAGGATAAATAGGAAGGAAAATATAAAATTCAATTTGATTTGATGAACCTTTTCTGTCACCTAAAATCAGGAGAACGACAATGAGCATGTTAAGATGAAAAAAAAAATATCAACACTTACCTACACGTTAGTTCAAGGAGTTTTATTAAAAACCTATATTTGCCTAATTTAATATATAATAATAAAATGCAGCGTGTAAACAAAAGATATAAAATGGCGACAAGTCAACGTCAACGACCCGACAAGGAGAAAAGTGGTGTTCGAATAACAAATTATGGGTGACCAAAAATAGTTTTTGTCTCCTTTCAACGTACACTTTAGAAAGAAAAAGAGATGAACTGGAATACTAAAAGAACGTCAAGGCTTTATCTGTCACTCCTGTCAATAATTTATCGGTAAGGAACATTCCTAGAAAATCGCTTGTAGTCAAGTTTTCAACCATTGCCAGTTCTCCCATAAGAAGTGTCATCCACCTGGTACTGACAGAGGTATTGATTGGGTCGACCGGTCAACTGCGACAAATCTGCTATATCCCCTTCCACGTCTCTTAGTGATGTACACAGTTTCTCGGTTTATTTCATACGTTTGGCAACGTAGTTACTGTCCTGTCTTTGTTCAGTACATTATAAACGCATTGTACTCTTCTTCCATACGGAAATCTCGACCCAAGACTAACCTTTGCCAGCCCTTAGTATAAGCTTCAATACGATAAAGAATCTCTTGTTTTCAGCATACTTATACCCCCGTTTTTGGTACTCAGCCGAAAAAGTCTATATTGAAGAAGACGAATTCCTTTACGTTAAAAGGTTTTTCTCCGTTTGTTAGTACCAGTCCTGGATCAACTCCTTACACTACCGTGACAGGAGCCGAAAGCAGAATAAGATCAGCTTTTGAAGCTATATTTAGGTAAAGTACTTCATGTTATTCCATACAATCGAAAAAAACGGCGTCATAGAGCGCTGGGGAGTGACAATCGATGATAATTTTGACGAATTCAAGCCCTAGGAGAGTCAGTGTTAATTTTTGACAAGTTTAATGCCAATTTTTCAGTAACTGATGTCTGGAGAGATTGACCTCATCAAAATTATCATCGATTCTCGTTACCCAGCCGTCTTTGACGCCGTTTTTTTCGATCATACCGTATTTCGAATTAAGATAGTACAATACTATACAGTAATGTTAGGAAATGATACAAATATATCAAAACAAAGTATGTTTTTAGAAAATCAGCCCAACTCCAAGACGTTCACAATGCTGATAGCCAGCAAATCATTGATACAGACGAAAAAACACCTCACATTGTTCCCATAAGTCCAACTACGTCTAAAAAAGTTCAGTTGGTAAGTACTCTAGTACGTACTGTACAGGGTGGGTCAAATTCGACGCTTTTAAATGGAAACACCCTTTTCTATAGGAAATAGACTAAATAATATCGGTGTCTGGAGCTCAATTTTTGTCAAAAACATGATGGTGAAAACCGCATATCGATATCTGTTACCGTTTCGGAGTTACGGGGTGTTTTTCAAATATATGCATTTTTAACAAATCGCTGTAACTTTTTTGCTATGGAAAATTTTGTATTTTTATGAGAACATTTCCAAAGCACCTTTTTACCTAGAATTTAATGGTTTACGTATAATTTTTTTAAAATTAATAATTTAAGAATTATCAACAGAAAATCTGATTTCTTATATGGGACACCCTGTATATTTTTAATTTATTGAAAAGAATTTAAAATTACCTTTCCAAAAATATAATACACTTGATATTTTGCTCGATTCCTCTTCGAGATATAGAGTATAATAAAAATTCGCCCGCTTTAAATAAGTAGGCTTTGGACGGCACAGGCTGTAATGCAAAAAAATTCTAGCTGTGAGCATCAATTAAAACGAAAATAATATTTGTTATGAGAGATGCAGAATTTTATAACAATTTAAAATATATTTAACTAACATCAACACATTTAAACTATATCTAATAACAATAAAAATAAATAGCAAACCAAGACATCAGATTTTGCTACAGGTGTTCGACATATCGACCGTCTTCTGTTATGAACAGACGGGGCAGTTTTTGAACATTTCTCGCGGAATTCATTAACTCAGTGGGGGTGAAAGATACCCTCTCATAACTGCTAAGTATTTCTAATTCTTGTCTAGATTACACGGAAGAATAAGGAACCTTTGTTCTTCCGCAAATATATACATAGGATTAAATCCATGGGCACTAAGTCAAGCGGCCTCGACAACCAACGGCTGGGACCTTGGTTAGTTATTCAATTATTCTTGAAATTGGCTGCAAAAATTTGCTGATAACTTCAGCGTTCAGAGGCGGTGCGTCGTCTTGCTGGAAAAATATGTTTTCGAGTTCCATTAAGGGCATTCTATCAATAAGGGGTCCAAAGCCTACTAGTTAAAAGTGGCGAACTTTTAAAAATTCTGTATTTCGAAGGGGATTATAACAAAATATCAAGTATGCTATATTTTTGGAAAGGTTATTTTAAATTCTTTTCAGTTAATTAAAAATATAGGGGGTGTCCCAAATAAAAAATCAATTTTTCTGTTGATAACTCTTGAATTATTAATTTTAAAAAAATTATACTTAAACCATTAAATTCTATGTAAAAAGGTGCTTTGGAAATGTTTTCATAGAAATACAAAATTTTCCATAGCAAAAAAGTTAAGGCGATTTGTTAAAAATGCACATTTTTGAAAAACACCCCGTAACTCCGAAACGGTAACAGATATTGATGTGCGGTTTTCACCATCATGTTTTTGATGAAAATTGAGCTCCAGACACCGATACTAGTTTTCGTGTATCTCCTATAGAAAAGGGTGTTTCCATTTAAAAGCGTCGAATTTGACCCACCCTGTACAAACAATATCGTTATGTAGAGAAAAGATAGAGATATAGTAATAATATAACTCTAACCCTTAGCCCTACATCTCTGTTAAAACAAATATCACGATTGTTTAATAGTTATTTTTTATACAAAACGATAAAATGGTATTTTATCGTTGACGGAAAAGATTCATTAATTTTGGTAGACTATAATGCAATTTTATCGTCGTGTATAAAACAATATTTTTTTCCATAGCGAGTTACGTTTATAAAAATATTCAGAAATTATTATTTCAAGGAATTTATTACGAGTAGAAAAAATATTGTGCTGGGTTGGCGTTGGTTTCTATGTAATTTGACAAATAAAAAAAGCTGTCTTTTTAGTTGTCAGTTTTGAGTCAATATTTTTTAATTCTTTTTCGTGTCGATTACTGATTGAATTGGAGCCAGAAATGGCTCAAAACGAAACAAGTAAATTCTGAGGCGACAAACGCCATATCCAAACTACTTTCATTTAAATCCCGAATAATTTATGAAAAGGAATACAAAAATTTTCAAAAATGAAAGCTATTAAAAAACGTGCGAGAAGAAATAAAGTTTTTAACCTATCCTGCGCTGTTAAAGTATCATTTAATTTACCCTTGCGGTTCAAGTACTATTTTATCTACTATTTTTGATAGATATAAGGCAATTTTAACAGTTGCTATGGAAAAAAGTCTTATTTTAGCGACTCTATATTTCCAGAGAATGACAAAAAAAATGAATTTCAATTTCTTTTAGCCCAAAGAACGAGTGTGCGATATGTCCACTGAAGATCAAAGAATTTGGGAAGAAGAACAGATGGATCTGCCGGCTAATTTTTCAACCTGTCATATCGACCCCGCCCCATTTCAACTCGTTGAAAAAACTTCACTCCTAAAAGTTCATTCGCTTTTCTCCATGGTGGGGGTAAACCATGCATATGTCACCGCAATAGGTAAGCATCTTTGGTTACGACTTTTATTTGACACTTGTCAAAAGTCGAAACGATTCGATAAGAAAAATTTCGGTAAAGGTGTGGATCCGGTGGCTGACCTTGAAGCCCATATTTGCTGCTTTTGATCATCGAGACTACGCAAGCGCACATCGTCGATGTTGCCAAATTGCAGTTTATTTTCGAATTATTTGCAGTTGAAAATTTTTTTTTGCGTGTTAATCAATAATAATACAAATTCTATAATTTCAGATTTATCTTGATATCCAAAATTAAGGTAAGAAGGATAATGAAGATTGTGAAATGAAAGTATTATAATATATAAAATTGTAATAATAATAACATTTATTTATATGTTTACATTAGAATTAAAATTTATCATTTACGGATTTTTTCTTAATGGTTTTTAAACTTATTAGAATTATTTTATTTCTTTCAAGTTATTTAATTTCTAGTTATTTACAGGCAACAATATTTTTTGATTATATGCATGTATTGATGTTTTGAAGTACTACCATGACAGGTCTTATTATAGAACAATAAACGTCAATCGGAGATATAGGTAACATTTTACCTATTATATAATGTTACTAATATAATATACTTTGATTATAATTAATGTTTGTATCATAATTTCTAAAAATGTCAAGCATAGATATCAAGTTAGGTGGATTTTATCGAAGAGTGTGTTGATAAGACTAAAATAAGCTTTATGTTTTATCTTTTTCTCTTTAAGAGGAGATGGTTTGTATCGTAAAATACATTACAGTATTTAATATCGTGTACTTTGTTATTCTTTTCTTAATTTACTGTAATTTCTTGTTTCCTATAATGCCAAATCTTGACAATATGGTAAAGGTTGAGTTTTGATCTTATTGTCCAGTTTTATAAGAATAATAATAATAATAGAAATACAAGACTAAATTATTAAGACTTAGTTTGTGATTTATATTAAGATCTTTCTTATAATATTTGTTATGTCTTCATCTTAATACTATATTATGCTTTGTCTGGAAAATAAATGTTAAAATATCTTAATTTTGTATATCCTATTCCATCCTTCCATTAGGAAAAATATGGTTTATAAATCATATTATGCTAAGAAAATCACATAAATTAGGTGTAAAAATAGAGAAATCTTAAGGTAGCAGAAAAATTAATGCAATATATGTATAAGCAGAATTAAACAAGGTAACTGTTAATGTTGCTGAAGCTGATTCTACAATTTCAATTACGGAGGCTAAAAGGAATAATAACTACCTTTTAAGGCCTCCGTAGTTTTGATGGAATGTTAAAAAAAACCTATTATGAACATGACATGGAGCTACAGCATTTAAAAATTAAATTGAAAAAACTTGGACATATAGAAAGAAAATTAGAATACATATTAGAAAAAACTTGGACATATCCCTTTTAATTTCCCGAATTTTTAATAAAGCCCTTTTAAACGTAGCATAATAATATAGAGCAATTAGATTAATTATAGAAATCTAGAGTTTTATTACTATTTAATTTTATTGACTATGAAAATACATAATAAGAGTTCACGTGTTGTGCGAAATATTAAAATAATAAATATAAATCCTTGATATAAAAAATAATATACCGCGGACTATGATTGAAAAAAAATAGCGTCAGCGATGACTATGAAATGAAGATTGCTGTCATTTTATATGGGAAATGTCCTCAATCGTCATTTCCCAGCCAACTGGACACCGTTTTTTCGATCATGCGGTATATATTGACAAAAAACACTGAAAAAAGCACATATTTGTTTTCTACTGAAAATAATTCCAAAATAACTTACAATCTGGCAACATAGAAGATGTGCGCATGCGTAGTGTCTGTGACTATATGCAGCAAAAACTTGTTTCAAGGTCAGCCACCGGATCCACACCATTACCAAAATTTCGATTACTTTTTCGATTTTCCTACAGTAACTTTTTTTCATACATTTTGATGCATTTTTCCTGCAACGCCCTGTATGCGAGCCCTAACAACTATATCTTGGGACAAGGTCTTTTTTTGCAATAAAAATAGTAATTTGTTAAAACGACTCGAATTTATTTTGTTTATTATTCTAAATTCAAACATTACAATATGATCTAGACAATTTTACTATATTTTTATAACTTTGCAAACAAATTACTTTTGATAATAGCTTAATTTGCCAAAATCAAGCCAAACTTGCTGACAACTATACTATATTGGGACAGCACAACAAGAAATTTGTTTAATACGGAGTTACATCACCTTTCGCCTTAACAACTGCCTGAACTCTTAATGGCATTGTATTTACCAAAGATTGGCACATTTGAGGAGAAAAATTATCCCAGATTTCCTGCAGTTTTGTCCCCGAATGAAAAATTGTTCGTTGAGGGTGGTTTCTTAAATATTGCTTCATTTTATGCCACACAGTTTCTATAACATTGAGGTCCGGACTACTTGTAGGATAGGATAGAACTTTTATATAATTATTACCGAACCAATTTTTAGTTGATTTTGCTGAATGGCACGATGCTCCATCTTGTTGAAAAATATAGTCTTCGTTCGGAAACAATTCTTGAGCACTAGGCAAAAGTGAGGTCTCAAGTATATGTTGATATTTTTGGGTGTTGTCAGTGCCATATAAAATTTAATTTGCCCAAACCTCTTGCTGACATGCAACCCCAAACCATAATCCCCTTAGGAAATTTAACAACCCTCTTTAAGCAATCTTTATGAAAGGCTTCTGCTTTATTTCGTATTATTCTTTTTCGATGATCTCCAATGCAAACATCAAATTTAGACCCATCGCTCAATATGACCTTATTCCAATCATTTTGTGTCCACGATAATTTAGATTTTGCCCAATTATAGCGATTTTTCTTTTGAATTTCTGTCAGTAGCGGTTTTTCTTTGGCCTAAATAAGGATTTGTATCAATAATCTTCCGGTAATTGATTATCCACACAAAATAAAGTTTACCTTGTAAACCCCCAGACCGCATTTATGGATATATTTTCGGCAACATTCTCTTGATATATTTAATCCAGTTACAGTATTCCATTTAACTGTTACTTCGCGAAGAGCATTTCTTCTCGCAGACTTGCAAATTTTTACTAAATTTCGTAAATCTCTCTGAGATACAACTTTTAGCCTTCCCAAACTTTTACCTCCAACGCCTACACTGGCAGATTCGCCGGATTTTTTTATTATATTAAAGACTGTATTGAGGAATGATAATTTCGCGTAGTTTTTGATTTGTAGCTTTTCCACGGACCATTACTTCGGATAAAATTAACAAAATTGAAAATTAAAAAAAATAAAATTACTTACAGTAAGTCTCACTACTCAGTATCGAGTCACTTACAAGCTGTCAATGCTGAAGTAAACAGTTTGCGACATTTGTGAGGTTTATAGCAAAGCCGCCTATGATATTAATTATTTAAAAATACTTGTCCCAACATTTAGTTGTCAGGCAAATTTGCCCTTTTATGAACAAAATCCGCTACTGTAAATATGGATTGATTTACAAATTCATAAAAATATTGTCAAGTTGTTTAGGATATATGGCTATGTTTATATTTAAAAAATTAAACATATATTTTTCAGTCATTTTGACAAACCAGGACAATAATTCCAAAATATGACCTTGCCCCAACATATAGTTGTTAGACCTCTCTTTTGAATTTCCAGGAAGGCTGATTGGAGTGGTTGGCCTTAAAGAGCTGCGAAAAGCCATAGAAGAGGCAAACAGTGGAAATTTACCATCGGCAACCAGTACAGACCCTACCAGTAATGGAACGATCGGCGTCAATGACGTAAAAGAGCCCCTAGATGATGCAGATGCCGGGACACAACTAGTTTCGAAAGTGTAAACTACCAAATTATTATCAGGAAGTGAATTATCACATACAGAGAAATCAGCAGATCTCTCAGAAATCGAAGTTTTATCGATTTATATAACAATTCGACAAAGTAAGTTATCAGAAAAACTGATCGAAGAGTTCTAAAAGATTTTTTTTGTTATTAAGTACCTAAAAACATATCAACTTTGCATTTTACACGGTAAATTTAAAGAAAACTGTATAAAATAATATACGATCGAAAAAAAAACGGCGTCAAAGAAGGCCGGGGAACGACAATCGATAATAATTTTGGCGAGGTCAAGCTCTAGACCTCGTTTATTTAACCAGCACCCTTGTTAATTTTTTAATGGCGGTCGAGAAGCTTGTATTTTATTTTTATATTGAGTAAAAATGATTTTTAAATGGTGTAATGATAAAATATATTTTTTTTGAGATAGATTTCTGTGTCTGGAAACGTTCTATCCTTTTTTAATCTTTCTCTAATAATTACCCAAGTAGGATTTTCACGACTTGCGACCACATGTTTACTAAACACAACGTTGGATTAGTTACAAAAAATAGTTAGCTCCCTACCTTAGGTATTAAAATAAATTTAAACGTTTTTATAACGTTGTGCCGACGTTGGACTTGTACTACAGCAAAGTAGAAGCTTCTGCGACGTCGAATAAACGTTGTCTTCTAACCTTTTTTGCTTAAGTGATCTTTAGGTGATTCGGGCAACGTAGCTACAACGTTGGACAATATAGAGTTTTCTGACGTCAGTTTCAGGACCTATTCCAACGTTATGCAAACGTCGTCTGTTTTACTAATTCCAACGTTGTTTAGATTTCCTTATTCTTACGTTGGTAGGACGTCGGGTCACTACCATTTTGCAACTGTATTGAACCATAACCTTAAATCTTAAATTTTCACTTCATTGTTCTGTTCAGTCAGACAGTTCAGTGCTGTTTTTGTTTTTATAAAAAAAAAAAAAACTTAATTAAAATGGGACATAAGAAATGTACATATAAAACTAAATTTAAATATACATCGACATATATTACCGATAGTTTATCCACTCCCTCGTTTATTTAGATTATAGAGGGCGGCACAAGCTAGACTCTAGGATGACTAAATTAGGCAATCTTGCGACTAGTATACTACTTGTTAAGGCCGAACTGCGACTTTATTAGTCCAGTATGCGACTACTCGAACTACTCCATCTTAAACTCCAAAACAACAAAGTGCAAGCCGCCATGTTGTTAAATAAGAAAATGTTTCGTTTCTAAAATAGCAATTCCTGCTTTTTGAATACATTAACTTGAAATATTTGACCCTAAAAAACACGCGGAAACAATTTTTTCAGCCGGAGTCTCATGCATCCGAAATCCGATGGTACGACATCCGAAATTTGAAGTTATCGTGTGAAATAAAAAAAGCCTGTCACATAATGTTATCCGAAAGTTCGTTCCGAAATTTGACAGTTTTAACATTTTTCTGCTGCGCTGAATAGAGATTCATGTCATGTTTTATTGGAGAAACACTTATAAAAATAACTTCCTCGCCAAATATCCCGAAATTGCCCACTTCCCACACTAAACTTGTTTTTAAAACAAATGTTTTCAAAAAGTGAGGTTAAAAAACACACGATATCGTACAAAAGTTAAATAAAATTTAACTTTATACGACGTCGGATGATTAGTTAAAATTATCGGATAAAAATTGTTGTCAAAATATTTCGACCAATAGGAGCACCGTCGGATCGTCGTGTCATCGGATTTCGGATGCATGAGACTCCGGCTTTCGACTGCGAATGAATTATTCTCATTTTACTAAAAAAAAAATTCAAAAAAATTTTTAAAACTTCTTTAATTTTAAGGCCCATTAGTATTTTTCAAAGTAGAAACAATACATTTATCAATAAAGTTGTTTGCGTTTAACTTTTTTGCCTTGGGTAACGAGTTACAGAGTCGGTTAAAGTGTTTCAATAATTATGATCTTCAAACATCCTCCACACTTAAATACTTTGTGTTTGTTTTCCTTCACTGCCATCTGACATATGTCTCTAACTAAACCATAAAAATAATATTTTTACTATAATTATCCCAATTTAGGATAAAACGCGACTTAGACGCCATATTAGTTTTGTATTTCTGTGAATTAGGATTTTAAACAACGTTGCAGATTGTACTAAATTAGGCTTCTAGCCAACGTCGGTATCCAACGTCGTTTCGACCCAAAAATTATTCTGCAAACTAGTGCAGACTAGGGTTGGCACGAGGTTGTGCCGACGTTGCGCCCCGACGTTTGGTCGCGTGACACAACGTTGTCCCGACGTCCAAATGCTGCTTGGGTAGTGTTAAGTTTTGACATACTTTATGTCAACTTTCAGTAAATTTGACGTCTAGAAGAGACCGTCCTTGAAGTTTTTTTTTCGATCATACGGTATTATATTTTTTACAGAACTGTGTTATATCATTTTCATTACTTTAAGGTATATTCTTAACATAGACGTACTAAGTATAATAAGGTATTCTCCCAGATGAAATTATTACTATACAAGGTGTCCCAGAAATAAGTGCAAGTATTTTAACTGGTAGTATAGTTCAACCCCAGAAACACGCCTATGATGTTTTTTTGCGAAAAAAAATGAAAATTCGGGATTTTTTGAAAAAAAAAATTTAGAATTTTTTTATTATTTTATTTAAAAAACCTGATTTCTTGATAATATGGCAACATAGGTAGTAGATTAAATTTAGAAGAAAGAAAATCCAGAATAGATCCAGTGCGTTCTCAAAATTTGAGCAAAAAATCATTTTTTTTTGCTCAAAAACGTTAAAGAGAAAATATGTTTCTTTCATTGAGATCTACCACCCCTTAAAATACTGGCACTTATTTCTGGGACACCCTGTATAGAGGTACATATTATGTATGGTATAGTCTGTCCAATGACTCAGGGAAAATTTCGACGGATACGACATTACAAAAAATGACAGAAAATACGATTTACCGGTGAATTAAAATGACAGACACAACTGTCACTGTCACGGATCCTCCCAATGGACAAACTATATGCACGTACTAAAAAAAATAATTAAAATAATTGAGTAGGTTTTTTTTTACATTTTGATTGTATCGTCCTACTTAAAAAGATTAAAATTTGGTTTTTATTGTACGCGTTGTAGATATTTTTCGTTATAATCTTCTATGATTTAATTAGTTTTAAGTAAAAAAACGTAAAATTTAGTAAAACTCAAGCGGCAAAAGAAGAAAAATCAAATCAGTGATAGATTTTTTTTGTGAAATCTTTATTTTTATAAGACTTTTGTGATATTTATATGTTTTTGTTGTCCAGTGAATGAATATACGATATAGGATAAGTTATATTTCGTGTTTTATTGTTTTTTAAGTTAAGCGACGCTGAAAAATACGAGTGAATGGACGGGTGACCGTCTGGAAGTCCATGGCAAGAGTATGAGATCGGATATTTCGCGAGTAAGTCGATTTTGACAATCGAGTAGACCATAAAGTATACCAAATTGTCCAAGAGGTCTAAATTATAAGAAAATGCATTTTCTACGAAAACTTGTAGGGATAGGTAAAAAATGGTATAATACAATTTGATAGACAATTAAATTGTGCATCTGATTCTCCTAAAATATACAGGGCATTCCATTTAAATTAAAGAAGTTATTGGCGTTTAAAGCTAGAAATTATTTAAAATAAATTTTTAGACACTCTGTAAAAGGTAGTATTATTTTTATTATTGCAACACAATAACTGATCAATAAATAAACTTCAGTAAATATTTAGTATTAAAAACTTTGATACCCTTGGAGAAATGAAGCCTTAAAATTTTACTGCAATTTCACAAAATTGAAAATATTTCAAAAACGGTAAGGTTTAAGTATAATAAACCTTAATCAAATTTACCTTTATTTTAATCGTAGAAACTAAAAATGTAATAATATACAGGGTATTCCATTTAAAAAAATACAACTTTGATATTTTTTACTTATTTGGGATACTCTGTATCTTGTAAAATTATTTTTAAATTGTACCCCTAATAGTCCTACATCGAACCCAAAACTTGAAATTTGTAAAAATATAATCGTTTAGCTACAATACTCCGTGTCGTATGTGGTGAACAACCCTTATAATAATAAAATAGGGCAACGGCCCAGCTACGTCGAAACACCGGTTCCCATTAGGACACCGAAGTTAAGCGACGTAAGGCGATACTAGTGGATGGGCGGGTGACCGGTTCGAAACTCTGTATCGTGCTGTTTTCCAAAAAAAGGCAAAAGTGTAAAATCTATTGACATACACTGTTCATTCACGCCGGTTCGAGGCCGGATGAGATCGGATATCTCGTGAGTAAGAGTCGATTTAGACACTTGCCAAGTCGGTAGGCCATTGACCATGATATGGCCGAGGACCGCGGTTGGGATTCCGCGTAAACAAAGTAGGCCCCATCCAGATTAACCCTGGCAGCAGAAAGGAGACGTTAACTGAAATCTTTACTTTACTTTAATAATAAAATACCAAAGGATTACTTTATGGAGTAGACCATTGACAATGATACGGCCGAGGATCGCGGTTCGGGTTCCGCGTATACAAAGTAGGTCCCGTCCAGATTAACCTTAGTAGCAAAAAGGAGACATTGACTTAAAATACTTACGACTACTTGTTTTTTAATATTATAATTATTTAGAATGTTAAGTTAATAACTTAACAGTCATAAATAGTATTTCAAAAACTCAATAATATTGTTAAAAAAATTAAAATTAGATACTAGTTTTTAATATAACCTACTGTAGAGTATGGTTCTAAATGTTTTAAACGTTTTTTTACTGTAATATTACGGAGTTTTGAAAAAAAATAACACATACACTTTATTGATATACATGATGTATTAAAATAATTATAGTTCTTGTAAAAAATAAGGGATGTGATTAAAAATGGGCAGTTATTTTCTCAACTTACTGTATAGTTGCTCTGATGAGAGACTCTGTAATAGTATGTAGCTTTTGTGCCCATCCACTATCACAAGTTCTTTAAACCTTCAACAGCAACCATTTTTAATTGATTTTTATGTGTTTTAATGTATAATCTTTTCAAAAATATCTAAAATAAAAAAAATATATATCGCTAAATA